CCACCCAAAAAGCAAATTTATTATTTTATAAGGCATTTTCCAGATTCTCTTAAACATACATACACCTTCCCAAAAAAGCAAAATATGAAGTATCATCCCACTTGGTATGAAGATCAAAAAAAGATTTATGATTGCCACAAATCTTAGTTTTCCATATATGCCATAGAATATAAGTGAGTGAACCCTAAAGCCTACTTAAATGGGAAGTTGTAAACCTTTTGGTAAAACCATTAAATTTTTCTGCAAAAATAACTGATTTCAAATTTAGCCATAGGTAGGACATAATTTTTCTTTCATAACTTCATTAGTAAAGGTTCTAGGTTATGTACAAAGGCAAAAGAGAAAGTATAGGTGATTTCCTTTTTAAAAAAATATAGGAGGGTCTGTTAAGGATTCATTTTTAGCTATCAGGTGGCAACCTATAATAATCTCCTACCTCAATCATTCACTCTTACGGTTATAACCTATCCTAGAACGCTGCACTAACAATAACTGATCCCTCTCAAGTTTAAGGATATTTTGCCTTATGAATTGATACGGCTCTCAAACCACATTTACCTCTCTGGCTTATTTCTTCCAATTCCACGGGGATCTATAATCCCTTAATTATTAAGCGGTCAGTAAACTTTATTTGTAAGAGCCAAAAGTAAACATTTTAGGCTTTGCAGCCCACACAAAGTCTCTGTTACATATTCTTATTGTTTTTTGCTATTTTTAGAATGCTTTGAAAATGTAAAGACTTTCTAAACCAAAAAGCCATAAAAAACAGGTCTTAGCCCACATTTTCAGATTTCTTTATTAACATTACCAACACCTTTTAACTATCTATCACCACCTTTCATATCCTTATTTTCTTCATGATCATCCTAAATTCTATAATCCATTGTTATAATCACTCCCTTGCAACAACTTTACCCCTTGGCCCCTTTATCGCCTTATCTAATTCATAAGGCAAAACCCAACCCTGGTTAAAACCAACTATCTGCCTTCTCCATACCTGTACCCATGCAGATGAACATAACTGGAAAACCACAAAGAATCATGCTTTAAACTCATGACTATTAATTTTAAGTGGGCTTTTGGGTCCTCTGGCATTCCTGTATTTCCCTCATTCATTTAGTCTCTCAGTCTCCAAGAGAGTCATTTCACATCTTTCCTTCAAGCTCCCAACATCATCTTCCCCCAGCCTCACCCTAAGAAAACAGATACAATCAGAAAACAATTCCCACCACCTACCTATATCTGCCCATGTTCTCCGACTTACCTTGTTACTAGAGATGAACACTCACACTCCTATCAAAAGCCAACTTCTCCATTTGTACACTAGATTGCATCCCCTCTTGCCTACTCAGGGATACTTCCAAATCAATTGTCACCACTGTCTCCTATATCATCAACTATTCCATGTGTTTTGGGCCATTCCCAGTACCATACAAACATGCTATTATTTCTTTCATACAGTATGCTTGCCCACAAATACAAAATGCTTCCCCCTCAAGCCACTCATTTCCTATTCCCTTTTACTCAAAAAAGTAGTCTCTTCTCGTTGTCTCTTTTTTACCCCCATCCTTTCTAATCAGGATTTTGCACCCATCCCTCCACCAAAACTTCTTTTCAATGTCACCAAGGACCTCCACATTGCTACAATCAGTGATCGATACTCAACCCTCAACTTATTTGGCAGCAGTATTTGTCACAGACGATCACTACCTTGAAACACTCTATTTACTTAGCGTCCAGGCTCCATACTCTCCTGCATTTCCTATCTCACTGATCATTTCTTCTCAGTTTACTTTTCTGATTCTTCTTCATTATCCTAACATCTTAATGTCAGAAAGCATGCCTCTTGGTCCTCTTATCTTCTTCCTCTATAGTTACTTCCTTGGTAACCTCAACCAGTCTCATGGTTTTAATACCACCCACATACTAATGACACCCAAACTTGTATCTCCAGCCTAGATAATTCCTGTTTGCCAAACTCATGTTCAAATACTTTCTTGAAACCTCGAGTAGACTCAAGTAGATGTCTGGCTAATAGGCATCTCAAACATAACACGTCCCAAATCAAGCCCTGTTCTTCACCACCCTATCTAAAGCCCCCTCCAAAAAGTGTTTCCTTTGCAATTTCCATCATCTGAGTAAATGGCATCTCCCTTTCTCCCATCTCCCTCATCTCCCTTTCTCTAAGTACTCAGGCCAAAATCTTTGAGGTCATTCTGACTTCTTCTCTGACTCCATATCCAATTCATCAAGAAATCTTTTGGTTTCTACCTTCCAAATAAACACTTGTAAAATAAGGACATCACAATTAGATTCATTTTGGAGGGCAGATCTTTTCAAGAGCTACATATGTACATACATCTTTGTATGTACAAAGTACATCTTTAAGTACTTTTCCCCCAGTTTCTATTATTTAAATTCAGAAACAGACTAAATTCAAAAACAAAATTAGAAAGAAAAAGAGAAGGAAAGATAGAAGAAATGAATAGTCATTCAGAAATGAAGACTTTAAACTCACAGAAACACAGAACAAATTAATGACTAAGTCACCTATAAAAATGACAGGAAACTAAATGGAATTAAAGTAAACAACAGAAGTATAATTCTCAAGAAGTAGAATAAAGCTGGGATATAATCTAGAATTTTTAAAAAGAAAATGTCAAAAAGCAATTAATTACTATACACTTGGATAAGTGAGAAATGCTAGAATAGTGTAGCATAGAAGAAATATTTTTTAACAGAAAAAAATATAGGTCATAAGCTTCTTAAGGTCAAAAACTATGTTACATTCATCTCTTTATTCCCCCATGATGTCTGCATGTAACTGTTACTCAATAAATTTTTTTAAATGAACTATTCATTTATCTTATAGCTAAATGTTAATTCTCCCTAAAAGAATATCCAAAAGCAGTGCCACAGGAATCCAAAGTTGAGACCAAGAATCACTCTTCTATAATTTCAACATGACATCAGATGGAAAAAATGTATTTGGCTTTCAAAAGTTACTAAGAAAAAATAAGTTGAGATTCTTAAAATAACTTATGTTGCCTAAATATTAATAAGCACTTAAGAATATTAGTAAAAGGAATATCTTCTTTTTTTTAATAAGCCAGAATATATTTTTTACAAAAGTAATAGCTATGACTTTAAAACATCATATTTTAAATATATGTTCACAAAAGTTAATTTAAAAGTATTTTTATACATTGTTAAATGATTACTAGTCAAGTAATTAACATGTCCATAAACTCACATAGTTATTACCTTTGTGTGTGTGTGTGTGTGTGTGTGTGTGGTGTGAACACTTAAGATCTACTCTCTCAGCAAATTTCAAGTATATAGTACAGCACTATTTTATAGAATATTTTAGTATACATTACTATTTTCACCATGCTGTACATTAGATCTTTAGAAGTTATTCACCTACATAACTGAAACTTTGTACTCGTTGACCAAAACGTCATTTCCTCCATTCCTCCCCCAGCACTCCTAGAAACAGCCATTCTATTCTCTGCTTCTATGAGTTGAACTAAAAATATTTTTGAAAAATTAGTACCAGTTATACAAAATGCTTTAGAAATTATAGAAACTTGGTCTTTAGGCAAAAAAACTTATTTTTTATTATTGCTAGAAAGAAGTATAAATTGTAGAAAAATTTAAACTTGTTATGAAAGTAGGAGTTTCATTGCAAGTATATATGCAGAACTTAATCATATGTGAGCATACATATTTTAATCATATGTAATCATCAAAAGAGCAGTCTAAAAAACAAAAAAGAACAGGTTAATATTTCTATAAACCAAAATCCTACTTATGGAGGATATGGAAGTGGGGAGGTTCATCACACATAGCCCTGCAAATGAGAACGCCTAAAACCATTATAATTTAATATCCATGGTCTTTGTGGAAGATATTTATAAAAGGATTCTGGAGTGGAGTGGAGTGGCCTCATCACAGCTCACTGTAACCTCAAATTCCTGGGCTCAAGTGATTCTTCCACCTCAGCCTCCTAAGTAGATAGGACTATAGGGGTGTGCCACCATGCCCAGCTAATTTTTAAATTTTTTTAGAGATGGGGTCTTACTATGTTGCCCAGGCTGGTCTGGAACTCCTGGCTTCAAGGGATCCTCCTGCCTTGGTGTCCCAAAGTGCTGGGATGACAGGCATGGGCCACTATACCTGGCCAAGGATTTCCTTTTAAAGGTTTAAATGTCATCGTAACTTTATAATTCTGATAAATTGAAAAAACTGACGTTAAATTTTTAAAAGCAGTAAATTGCAATAAAAGCCTTACAAACTATATTATTAGATAGAGAAAAGAACAAAGACGAAAGCCTTGCAAACTCCAAAATATCTTTTCATATGCCAGTCTTGGGAATATTTTATGTAACCCCTTAAAATAATGGCTTTTAAAATTTTACATAATATCTAATGGTGTAATAGTGATGGCTTTATTAATAATGGTAATACAACCTCAAAAAGAAAGCGTTAACATTATGATCTAGCAGTAATTCAATTGTATGTTTTCTTATTTCTAAATTATTCTTTTCCTAAATAAGTATTATATTTTAGAAGAAACTTCAAATTTAATCTTCATTGCATTTCTCAAAAACAAAACAAAAATGTAAGGATTTTTGTGATAACAGATATTCCAAAAGATTTTTATTTGAAAGGGGAAAAAATCTTATAAAATATTAGTGAAAGTACTTAAATTTCAAAAGATTAAAGCCAATTTATACATATAAAACCAATCAACATATATTTGGTATCCTAGTTTATCAACATATTCCCACATATTCCCAAATTCCACAACATATTCCCAAATCAAAATGAAAATAAAATGATTGCCATCTACCCCAAGTCAATCCCAAATTACCAAATATAAGCTAACATAAAAGCATTCTATGTAAGTTTTTACACACCTCCAACACACTTTTGAACTCACTTGGGTAAATATGGATCTTTCCAACAGCAGCAGGAGTTTCTACAAAGTTATTTACCTTGTCCAGGTCTTGCAGTTACAGCTGCTCCAGCAGATGGCGGCTCAAACTCCTGTCAATTACAATCATGTTATTACAGTGACCTATTACAATGTGCAATTTATAATAAAACAGTAGTGATATCACAGCCTTACCTTTGCTTTCTTTGAGTCTGGATCAAACCTTTCAAGAATTAATTTAGCCGTCTTATAAGTTTCTTTTTCCATGACTTCTTCAAGCTATGAACAAAAATTTCCACAAATTGTCACATTTTAAAACACGCATACTACTTATTTTTATAAGTCCTATTCAAAAAGTATTCAAGTACAAGGCTTAAAATAAATAACACATAATATATCCAGATAGAATGAAAGACTTCCTACATCCAAATAATTAAAATCAAGATTTTAAAATGGTTTTTAACCTCTAATATGTTACTTGTATTTAACAGCTTTACTGCAAGGAAATACCAAATATTGCTAATTGTTTACATATAATGAGGAGAATAATTACATGCACCAACTTCAATAATGGAATGTGCAAAAATCTATCAGCCATCATTATTGGAAGTTATTAGACATGACAAGCAAATGACAGGCAATTCCTCAGATTTATTTCCTCACAGCACTTAATGCTATTAATTTAAAGAAGGTCGTTAGCCAAGAGCTTTACAAAATAAAATCTCTGTGCCAATTAACTGCTGTCAGCATCGATTTTAGATTATTTATTAGCACAAGCAATTAGCTTGCTGCAAATGCAATGAAAACTCACTAACTGGGAGAACAGCCATGGAATTTGCTCAAATGACTTTAAAAGATAAAGCCCTCCCCCATGCTTTTTTTACTTAGATTCAAGCAAATTTAGAGGAAAAAACTGAACATAGTATTTAAGTAAAAATTTTACTGAGTTTTACACTCATACTAAGGACTGTAATTAAAACAATTTATTATTAAAGCATTTTATTTACAATGTAATCAAATCACTTTATAGCTTAATACATGGGTTTAACTTAAAATATAATCACTAGTAAAGTATCATTTTAGTAGTTATGGCCCAACATCAGAAAAAGTTGAACTGTAGTACAAGACAGTCATAGTTATGACAAATTACTTAACATGTAGAATAAAGTGCTTTTACAAAAATTGGAACAGAACCTTTTCCTTCTCAGTGACAACTGATGGTCACTTAGATCATTAAGTGTCACATTCATTCCAAAGGACTTTTATTTTAAAATGCAACCCAGAAAACATTTACTGAGTGAAAAACATAGTTTAAAATATTAATATGCTGTCACAATAGCAGTTAACAGCTTCCTCATTAAACACTCAATTCAACATACAAGATGCTAGGTGCTTAGATGAATCTTTTTTTTTTGAGACAGAGTCTCACTCTGTTCCCCGGGCTAGAGTGCCCTGGCATCAGCCTAGCTTATAGCAACCTCAAACTCCTGGCAATCCTTCTGCCTCAGCCTTCCGAATAGCTGGGACTACAGGCATGCACCACCATGCCCAGCTAATTTTTTGTATATATTTTTAGTTGGCCGATTCATTTCTTTCTATTTTTAGTAGAGACGGCTCTAGCTCTTGCTCAGGCTGGTTTCCAACTCCTGACCTTGAGCAATCTTCCCCTAGGATTACAGGCGTGAGCCACCGTACCCAGCCAAATGAATCCTTTTTTTTAACCTTAGTTTAGTGAAACTAAAATATTTTCCTAATTATTTCAAAATTGTGATAAATTCTCCAAATAAGTTGACTTTTCTGATGTAAAGAAAATGTCTACAGTATCACTTTATAGCTGGTAAAAAAAAACAAACTAGGAATGGAGGTAGATAGAGGGCATGATAGAATACATCCCCAAATCACCACAATCTACATAAAATATCAAAATGCCAAATCCCTGATCTCTATAAAGTAGATGTTTGATGTTTTAGACCAGTGTTGTGCAATAAAACTTTACATAATGATGGAAATGGTCTATGTCGCATAATGGTAGCCACTAGGCCACATGCGATAAATAAGCACTTAAAATGTTGCTTGTGCAACTGAGGAACTGAATTTGTAGTTTTACTTCATTTTAAATAAGGTAAATTTAAACAACTATATGGGGCTAGTGGTCACTGATTTTGGGAAAGCAAAGCTCTAGACTAACACTAGGTTTTAAAAGAAGATTAGACACAACTATGATCTTTAAAACAACACACAAAACTCAAAACCAAAATGCTATTTCATCAAATGATTGCAATTCCTGGTAGATTATTCAACGAGAATTCATGTGTCTATGTTTTATTTATTTATCTTAAATGAAATTTTTAGAAGCACTAAGAGATGCAAATCTATTCCCCTTTTCTTTTGCATTTACTTCTAACAAAATGTTTTCACATAGCAGCTTAATTAACATACTATCCATACAAAATTTTAAGTTAATAACATGTTTTAAACAGACAATCTGATCAATGGAAAGAAAATGAACTTGAAATTTTGAAATCAGAAAAGATCTAGGTTCAAAGCACGTTTCCATTCTCAGAAAGATCATGGGCACCTTTGTTAGCCTCAGTTTCTCCTTTTGTAAGACAAATATATTATTATTTTCTTCATAGCACTATTGGGCAATTTAAATAAAATATGAGAAAGAGTCCACAACAGCTGCTAAAACACTAACATAATTTTCAATGACATATCAATTATTCGGAATGGGTCCGAAACAAATACTATTTCTAAATACTCAATATATTAATCTTAAGATTTAGGAATGAGACATTAGAATTCTCAGAAATTCCCTAAGTCATGAGTCATTCTGTATTTTTTATAATATTGTATTTTAAACATAATAAGTGAATTATTTTTACACAACATGAGTTGTTTTTCTGTAGTATGATTATACTAAAAGTTTCAGGGCCTTTTCATGTAAACAGAATAATAATAAATGGTTGATTATTATAAATCAGCATTACTGTGATCAGATTATATGTTTCAATAACATAAAAAATTATTTCTACTTGAAAATAGCCATTTCATCATAGAAAATATTAAAAGAAAGGAAGACTAACACAAAATAAATGTCAAAAAAACTTTTAAATTTTTAATAAGTCTATGAATATTTAATTCTCAAATTATCATTCTTCAAATAAAATTTTTTTCATTCTTCAAATAAAATTTTAAAACACACAAAACATTAATTGCCCTATCCAATAACCAATATTTGTTCATGACAAATATTCCAGATATGGAAAACTTTCTTTCATTTTGCATTGACTTTCATCAAATTATTAAGAGTGCATCCAAAAGCATCTTCAAAAATTAGAGAATTAGGGAACATGTTATATCACATAAACTCATCCTTTTATCATGCTGAAATATTTTCTGCTTACCCTGATTTTGGTTTTGCTGTTGAAATTGATAATGTTTTTACTAATTCAGATGTTATACCATTTTCTGATTTCATATAGGAGTATTCCTCAATAATAGTCATATCTTTCCTCTTTGCATTCCTTCTGTTACTCTATAGCCTATATCACTATATTCAAACACCAGAAAAAGGCAGCAACTATTACTGGCTTATTATAAAAGTATAATATTTGAAACTACTAGTAAGGTTAACTGCCCTACAAAGAATCACATGCTAAAATTGCCAATTTAAAAACTTCTTTTGACTCCAAAATTTATTTCATGGAATATCATTCATAGGATTTATATAAAGTATACTTTATAAATTTATATAAATTATAGTATGTGTATAAACGTACTAACATTTATTTGCATGAATGACTCACCATTAATAGGAGAGAGGGCCATAAAAACACACTTAAACATGGCCACAAAAGCAAGACTAACTGATTAGATTGTGCCACTTCCTTTCAAAAAGCTTCTGTCCTGTTCCCAGAAATGTCAACATTAACCTGTAGCTCAGCACGCTGTCATTCTTACTCTTGCTTTCAACTGACATGAGTGGCTTCCTTTGAACTAGTAACATCTGTAGTTGATTGTTAAGCTTTAATTCTCAGAGAATTATAACACTTTTCTCCATATTCCCAGATTCTCAATTGATTTTTCTCAGGATTCACGAATATATTCATTTCCTGAGAAATGCCAGAAAGCAATTACCACATAGAAATACTACTCTGGAAAATGCACAGAATTTTCATGAAAGCACTTAAAGAGGTAATTTTGACTTGTGCATTTGGAAGAAGCTTGATTTTGAACTGTTCGGAAGGAATGCTCATGGATGCAGAGGGATTATCTATTGCACAGATTACTCAATGATTTTTTAAAGGACCATAAAATATGTGAGTGGTAAAATCTATACATCCAGTCTTGGAAATTTCTTAGATAACTAAAGATCCATTCCTAATTTTATTTTAATAAGTAAATACTTATAGTAAGCTCTTAAAATTTACAACATTGCTAAGATGCTACTCATTTTCCTAAGTAATTTAATTTTTTAAACAATTGATTAATTCATATTCATCAGTATAAATTACAATTTTACAAATTTCAAATTATTTTACAAATCTATTCAAATTAAAGAGATGCATGCCTAAGGAAACCACATATAACAAAATAATAGTAGTATTAATTGTATTAATTTTGTTAATGAAAGAGAAAGGTTGGGACTTGGACAATTCTAGACTGTTAAGAATTATTTTTCTTGCAGTCATTTCAATAATAAAAGTATTTTAAAACTACAATTGAAGCATTTAAACCTAAACATCAATGAAAAAGATCAGTTTTGATTATGTTTGGCTGTTCCTCAAAAGTAATATCCCTTCTTTTGCTTCTCACTACTAGCATGATCATTAGTTAGCACTCTGCTCCTTACTAATTTATCTTCAACACCTATTTTTCCCAAAGTGTAAAGCTACTCAAACAAAGCAGCTCTGTTAAGGGACTGAGCAGTAAAGACCAGGGACTAGTTCCAATAGCAACAGTATTATAACCAACAACCCTCAAGTCAATGCAAATTGTGTTCTCTACTTAATAAAGTGAATTAGAGCCAATACATTTTTCTTTAGTTATACTGCAAGAGAAATGCTATACTGAATTACCCTATAATACTGACGCCTCATGAATCATTTAGATATACAGAGCTACTGAACCTTGAACTGAATTTCCCAACAGTTGTCAGACTTAGATGGAGCATCTTTTATGTTGTGATTCCTTCAAGGGCTATTAAAAAGTAGTAAATAGCTTAGGCTGCCCTTTCACAGAATATTCCAAGTCTTCTCTGTTACTCTATTGAGAGATTATCCCCAATCATATCTTTTTCAACATTCTGTTTTCTGATACTGTGATGTCACTAACATTGGGCTGCTTCTAATCACTTAAAATTTTTTCCTTCTTTTTTTTTTTTTCTGTTTTTCTTTTGCCTTCCTCTTTGTCTTTTCTACTTTAACCAATATTTCTCCATTTTGGTATAAGCAAGGCTTGGCTCTGGTCACCACTACAAGATCTTCCTTTTATTAATATCTTATCAGCAAACCAAACCAGTCATATCACAACTTCTATATCACTAAGCCCATCAGTATTCCCTCAATTTGAATTTATGGCTGTTCCATAATGTATAGTATGACAGAAACACAATAAGATATTTCTATGTTTCAATTTAGGACTATCAAAATTGCCAATATAACCCGGGCGTGGTGGCTCACGCCTGTAATCCTAGCACTCTGGGAGGCTGAGGCGGGCAGATTGCTCGAGGTCGGGAGTTCGAAACCAGCCTGAGCGAGACCCGTCTCTACTAAAAATAAGAAATTAATTGACCAACTAAAAGTATATATACAAAAAAATTAGCCGGGCATGGTGGTGCATGCCTGTAGTCCCAGCTACTCGGGAGGCTGAGGCAGGAGGATCGCTTGAGCCCAGGAGTTTGAGGTTGCTGTGAGCTAGGCTGACGCCACGGCACTCACTCTAGCCTGGGCAACAAAAGTGAGACTCTGTCTCAAAAAAAAAAAAAAAAAAAAAAATTGCCAATATAATTTTGATAAATACCTCACAGAATACTGAAGAAGTATCAAACAAACAAAGCTAAGAAATCCCTCCAGAATTAAAGTTCCTTTGCTTTTCAGGTACTAAAAACCTCCAAGACCAATGTCTTCCATCACCAATTCACAGTACAATTTTTAACATTAGTCTTAACTATTATAATTTGTATTACTTTCATACATAATTTCTTGTTACATACTAGACTAAAATATATTGATCACTTGCATCTGATTAAATTTCATTAAATAAGTTTCCATATAACATAATACTATCCGCAATTATCATTTTCACATTTCAAAAATAATCATATCAAAAACAAAAGTAATTCTAAGACCAATTCACTTATTATAGACTATACATATCAACTTCTAAACATCTACAGCCCTTTCTTGTTCTCTTTCTTTCTTTTTTTTTTTTTTTTTAAGAGACTGGGTTTTGCTATGGTGCCCAAGCTGGCCTTGAATTCCTGAGTTCAAGGGATCCTCCCACCTCAGTCTCCCAAATGGCTGGGAGCACCACTGCACCCAGCTTGGTCCTCTCTTACTCTTGGCCCTCTTTCCAAGGCATCTGAAGGATGCATTTAACTAGCCCCACAGTAGATGTCCTTTTGATCAGAGTTGCCGATAGAAAGTGGAAGAAACTGAAGAAAAAAATTCTCTCTCCCTTCCCCTTTCTTCAATCTTTTCGTGTTGAATTTGTCTCTTACAATCAATCTTCCTGATTCCCTCTCTCTTGGCCTTATGGTATCAAGAAAACCTGAGAACTGATATATATAGATATTTGGTCATTTTTTTGGCTCTAACAAATAATCTGGGCACCCATCTTTTTACCTTCTCTGCCTCATTTAGTCCTCCACTATGATTCATTTATTTACTTCTCAGCTTTCAACTGACACAGAGTCTCAGAATCTCAAAAATATAAATAAACTACCTTTTCCTGCCAATCATTATTAACTAGCAAAAGTATTCATAATTTAGCTTCATCACTAAAGTGCTATCTAAAAGCATACTTGTTCCTTGGAGAGTCATTAACTTATAACATATGAACATTAATTATTCAGTTCTTAACTTATTAGTTGTATATAAATTAACTTTAAATAAAAGTTAACTTACTATTTTTTTCTTCTGGGATTTTAAATCATCCAATGCTTCATCTAAAAAACAAAATTCCAATCAAATATTAAGATCCTTAGACATAAGAAAAAATCATGCCAAATGCTATACATTAAGCAAACACAAGAAAACTTTCTCAAAAAAAAAAAAGAAAGAAAGAAAACTTTCTCATTTTAGGTTTCTCTAAATTTAACTAATGTGTAGAGACAAAAATTATCTCAACCTTTATCCACATATAGTTCCTATTTTTGCCTGTATTATATATTACAAGCCATTTAGGAAAAAATAAACTATATAGAATAACACACTTATCCAAATTTAAAAAATAAATTTGTAAATGTTTTCAGAAATATTACTTTCTATTATTTCTCATTCCTTTCAACACCCTACCCACATTAATTTACAAATTTAATACCAAATCTATTTTTATATTTTTATACATTGGTAGTAAAAATGTTCTCTGTTTATAAGGAAGGAAATACATACTTTGTTGAGTTAGTCAACCCTCAAGATATTGAGCACTTAATAAAGAAAACCTTTTGAAAATCTATATTATTATACCTGAAGCAGGACTTGGAAAGTAATACTAATAACTTTTCAAAATCAAACATTTCTAAGATTTGTCTGCTTCTATAGGTTGGCATAGTGGAACACATTTCAGAGGACACCATTTATAAATGTCAATGTCTGCTTTACAAATTTATTTAGGTTTCTGGGTTTTATTTAAAAATATTTAACTAATACACCTAGGAATACTATTTCATATAGAAATAAAAAAGAGTTATAACTTGATTTAAACATGTCAACACTCAAAAAGTTTTAGATTTTGCAGCATTTCAGATATTCAGATTTGGGATGCTCAACTTGTTTAATACTACTAGTAATTTAGGTCTACCAGTGAAAATAATGCAATATTTGGGGGGATGGATAACATTTCACTTAATTGAGGGTCAAAGTTAAGGGTTCTCCATCACCAAAACTGATTGTAAATGATAATCCATTAATGCTGATCTCTAATGAGAATTTATACATTTGATTTTTTAAAATGTCTTTTCACACAGGTAAATACTGTCAAATATTGATATCAATGCATGAGCACATGATTTTAACTGAACAGATTCATCACTGGGAAGACATTTATAAAACTCTATTAGTGTCTTGATATTTTTGTCTTTTAGATTGTCATTACATCGCAAATTAATCATTTCCAAAGACTGAAGCTCCTCAATCATATAATTAAATGGTTTACAAATATGAAAAATTCCTTTGCACTGGCACTGAGGTCTAAAAAATGCTGCTGAAACTATAGTTTAAGCTCAGATAATACATCTGCTGCAAATTTGTGTGGGAATGGTAATCTTGCTTCTTGATTCAACTTTTCATAGCACTTTTTTTAAGTTACTTTTTGTCACTACAATGTTAGTTATTCTCCATATGACTTTATCACTGTATAGGTTTTGCATATACGCATTGCTTTGTATTGCAATTTTAGGTTGGATTCATTAAGAACCATTTTAAGTCTGTAGCAAAAGCCAATTTCCAAGACCAGTCAGTATTCAATTTCTGAAGGTGGTTCTCATTCAGAAATATTTCAATCTGGGATCTTGAGTTCTAAATATTATTATACAATAAAACTTTACTACTGCTAAGCCATCCAAATGCTGTGTGCTAGGGCTAGTCAAGATGTTCAATTCCTATTTCTGATAAAAGTTCACATAACTGACAATAGTTAAGGTCCATGAGAGTAAATTAAGTTCCCCTTGATACTACTGGTTCAAAACCACAATGACAGATTCAAATATGCTCTGCAAAATACATGCTGTTGAATCATACAATGAATAATCATAGAATTTAACACCTTACAGTATCATGAGCTTTGTAAATTTGTCCAACTAAATTTTTTCTGCTACACATATATTCTTACCACCAATAGTTATAATATGTCTTTGCAGTTCCACTTCAGGTTGTAGTAAATTGGTGTTTTCTCAACTTCTTTGAAAATATTCTCACCTGACGGTGTTCCACACAGACTTTTTACAGAGGCTAATTCTTCAGTCACTTCAAGCTCAGAGTTGACGCCTCAAATAAACTATAATTGAGTGGTATCAGTAACATCTGTCAACTCATCAAGAGACAAGGAAGATCACTTGAAACCATTTGCCTTGTTTTTTAATTGACTATTCACGTTGCTCACGATTTTCTCAATTCTTCAAGCAACTGTTCTTGCTGAAAGGCTACTAGTGTTAAATAAATATACTTCTCTGAATATTTTCTTCTGCTGCTGCAATCATACACAATTTGATTAACTCACAATTAGTAAATGGCTTTCCTTACTTCACAAACAAGCCACTCAGAAACTTACTTTAGCTAAAGCCCCATTTTCACTTTTTATGAAGAAATTCTGCAATGATGACATATTCCATTTTCAATTTTCTAATTTTTATGACCATTGCTTTTCTGTGAGTTGGGAATATAATGATGAGAACTTACTATGGTAATGTCCATATATATTGTATTCTTTTAGCACAGCTATAATGTCACTGCATAATAAACACAATGATTTGCACTTTGATAACAAAACAGTACACACTCCATTGTGCCCTAAAATTGCAACATTCAAACTCCACTCTTCTCTTTTTTTCTTGTTTTTATATGATGGGTCTGTACTGGGAATAAAAAAATAAAATAAAATTGTCACAGTTCACTACTCATGGCACTTAAAATGCTGTCAAGTTACAACAGCATCACTGTGATTGGTCGTGCAACAGTCTGAAGTGATGAGATGTGATTTGTCCGACAAGAGTCTGAACTGATAAGAGCACCACATACAGTCTGTCACAACTACTCAATTCTGCCCCTGTAGAATGAAAGCAGCTGAAGACAACACATATGGGCGTGGTTGTGTTTCAATAAAAACTGAAATTTAAATTTCATATAAATTTTACATGTCACAAAATATTATTCTTTTTAATTATTTCAATAATTAAAAAATGTAAAAGCCATTCTTAGACCATGAGCTGTACAAAGCAGTGGGCACCACTTGCTCACAGGCTGTAGTTTACCAACTCCTGCTTTAATTTATATTAGGTCCAACTTGTAAAACAGAAGAACTAAAACTAATAATGAACAAAAAGCAAGGAAAACATCAATAGCTTCAGGCTTTAAAAAGAAACTTTTATGCTTAAAAAAAAAGTATAAGACTACAAGACAATCTTTTATAAAGTCTACTTTGAATGGATATACAATGTCTATTCAAATCAATTAGTAAAATTTTAAAAATACAAAGGACCTCTAATTTTTAAAGCAAAAAATCCCTTTATATAATAACCATATCCAGATCTGCCTATAAATTGAAATATTCATACATTTGATTTTCTTAAAGAAGTGTTCCAGAGGACTCCTCTGAAATAAAGTCTCTTATATCTTCTACTATTTTGTGATTCCTTGACATCAGAGAGCATATTTGTCATAAACTTCTTATCCTCCCACCATCTGCCATCTTACTAAATATCGCTGAAAACAATATCATAAACTTAATTTTCTTAATCTGATAAAGTGTTAATATTTTTAAAAACAACAGCAAGCTTTTCTACTGAAATCAGGAACTAGACAAGGATATCTGCTATTCCCACTTCTAGTGAATATTGTACTGGGTCCTAACTTATTTAAGCAAGAAAAATAAAAGAATAAGGATTGGAAAAGAAGAATCAGTATCATCAGCTCACATTTGTATAACACTTTGCAATTTTTATATGTTTTCATATATAGTTACATTTAATACCTGTAACATTCCTACCAAAACAAATATTTCTGTTCCCATTTTATAAATTAAGAAACTGAGGTTCAAAGAATTTGTTTGCAGGATGTAAAGATGACCAGTGGTGTGGCTGGAGCAAAAGTGAAAAATAGAAGGGTGGAAAAAGATGAAGTCAGAGAAAGAAACATAAGCCAAAAGTCAGGGTAAGAATTCAGATTTCATTCTGGCTGCAATGGGAAGCCATTAGAGAATTTCAAGCAAAAGACACATAAGATCTGATTTATCCCTTAAGAATACAAGAGTTAGGGTGCCATTGCAGATATAAAGCAAGAGATGACAATGACCTGAATTAGAACGGTAGCAGTAAAGAAGATGAGAACTGGTCAGACTCAAGATAATTCTGGAAGTAAAGATGATATGACTTGCTGGTAAAGTGGATGAATGTGAAAGGAAAATCAAAAATGGCTCCCAGGTTTTTGGTCTTGTGATGGTTAACTTTATGTGCTAACTTGACTGGGCCACAAGGTGTCCAGATACTTGACTGAATACTATTCTAGGTCTAACACTCTGTGAGGGTGTTTTGGTGTGAGATTAACATTTGAATTAGTAGACTAAGTATAGCAGATTGTTCTCCCTAGTATAGTAGCCTTCATCTAATCAGTTGAAGGCCTGAATTGAACAAGAAGGTTAATCCCCCTTCAAGTAAGAGGAAATTTCCCATGCCTGACTGGCTTGAGCTAGGACATCCATCTTTTCCTGCCTTCAAACTCAAACTGAAACATCGGCTTTTTCTGGGTCTTGAACCTGTCAGATTTCAAACTAGAACTTACACCAGTGGCTCTGCCTGTTCTCAGGCCTTCAGATTCAGATTAGAACTAAACCACTAACTCTCCTGGGTCTCCAGCTTGCTGGCTACATGTCTTGGGACTTCTCAGCCTCCATAACTACATGGGCCAATTCCTAACAACAATAATAATAATATCTCCTACTGGTTCTGTTTCCCTGGAGAACCCTAATACAAGTCTTAATAATTAGTTGTATAGGATTAACTATTTATTAAAATGGGGAAGACACAGGGAGGAACAGATATGAGGGAGTGAGGGTAAAGGGGAGAAGCAATAATAATTCTATTTTAGCCATGTTAAGTATTAAATGTCTAAAAAACTCCCAAATAGAAATGTCAATTACACAGGTATACAAGTCTGTAGCTGAAGGGAAGAGTCTTGGCTGGAGATTTAGATTTGGAAAACACTAACAAATATACAATATTTACATCTGTGGGAGTAGACAAAATCACCTAGAGATATACTGCCCAATGTAGTAGACACTGGCTACATGGGGTAATTTAAAGTTAAACTAATTAATATTAAATAAAAGTTAAGATCCAGTTCTTCAGTTGCACTAGCCACATTTCAAGTGTTCAATAGCCACAAACGGCTAGCAAATACCGTATTAGACAGTAGATACAGATTATTTTCTTCATCACAGAAGATTTTACTACACAGCACAGACCTAGACAAATTATCAAAAAGAGAACACCATGGACAAACTTCTAGTAGAGGAAGTATATGCAAACAAAACTGAAAAGAAATGACCAGTGAAGTGCTGTCAAAGGAGCTTAAATATAAAAATGTCTCAAGAAAAAGAACAGATAACTGAATTAATTCAAAGGCTATTATGAAATCAAGCTGGATGAAAAAAGAGAACTGACTATTGGCTTTGACAAGACACTGATTGTTAGTGACCCTGAATGGAGCAACTACAGTAAAAAGTAGTGGAAACAAAATCAAAGTAGTTGGAGAAGGAATAGTTGGGGGCAAAAAGAGATACTAACTATAGACAGGATTTTAAGAAATTTTATTTTGAAGAGGAAAGAGAAACGAGTGGTAACCTAAAGGGAATATGGGGTCAGGATCTGTCTCCCCTAGATGGTTTATTGAGGCACATTATATGCCAATAGGAATAATCCGATAGAAACAGATGATGTGCAAGGGAAGATAACTGCAGAAGATAACTATAAGAACAAAGTTCTTGAGATAGCCTCCACAGCATAAATAAAGATGGCCATAGATGAGATCAAGGCTAGTCTTCTAGAATACAATGAATGATGAGAACATACTGAGTACAGATAGAGCTTTATTGATACACAGTCAGACCTTCCATATGGGAGAGTTCTACATCTGCAGATTCAACCAACCACAGATTAAAAATATTCAGAAAAATGAATAGCAATACAACAATAAAAAATAATACAAATTTTAAAACAATATAATATAGCAACTATTTACATAGCATTTAAAATAGGGATTATAAGTAATCTAGAGATGATTTAAAATATACTGGAGGATATGCATAGGTTATATGCAAATACTATGCCACTTTATATACAAGACTTGAGCATCTTCAGACTTTGGTATCCTGGGGTACCTGGAACCAATCCCCTGCAGATACTGAGGGATGATGGATTTGGTGGTAGAGGTAGCTCTCATGTGTTTACATCTAGTTTGTGCATAAAGTGAGACTATCAATTAAGAGTGGTCACATAGATGGTAGATTTTGTGGAGTTTTGTTTGTGGCTTTTGATTTTTTTTTATTAGTATTTAGCTGTTGGTTAGTTTGGTATAATTTGATTTGGGGTTTTTATTGAGGAGGTAGATATTAGTGATTTGAGGAGAAATATAATATCAAACAATGCTCTCAAACAGAAAAAAAAAAAGTTAATTTACTAAGGAACTGTAATAGGACCATATAGTAGCATTAAATGTTCATTTGATATCTGCAATTATAGATTTAAAACAAGTCTGGTCAGCATGTTGTATGGATTTTCTTCTAACAAATTTAGTTGTTCTGGTAAGATTAAGCATATAAATGTATTTAACTAAAATAGTGTTTTGCCAGCCATAGGTCAAGCATATAATTGTATTTAACGCACTGACTGCCACACTAGAAAAAAAATTTTTTTCCCTAGGGCCACAGTGTTCTATTAAAAAAATGATCCTTTCTAATTTATTATTTTTTATTGTTTTTTGTTTGTGAGTTATATATAACATAATCCACCTTTTTAGAATTAAATTGTCAATATTAATTGTAATAATAAGAACATCAACAAGTAAGATGTTCATGAACCAATGCAGAGTTTTGTTTCACAAGGCCCCAGGCTCAAAACTAGCCTGAGTTAAACACAACTCACAAGGCAGTCAATGTGTTAAATAGGGCAGGCTGTGCCACATTAAGTAGGATGGGAAGAAGGAGCAAAGGAGTCAAATGGTCACTGGGCTAGAACATAGGGCCTAAACTCAGTAGAAGAAAAGAGAGGTTATGAGTAAGGAGAGCAGTTTGAAAGTCATATATTTAAACAAACTTTATCTGGATTCAGAGTCAAACAAATTATTTTTTAAAACAAATGATACTTATGAGATAACTGAAAATTTGGTATTTTTATATTTGTTATTTTATGATATCAAAAATTCTTTTCTAGGTATGAAAATGCATATCATGGATAGATATATCTGGCATATACTTCAAAATAATACAGGGGGTGAAGAAGTGGGAGGTGGTAAAAATGAAACAAGATTGACCATGAACTGATAATTGTTTAGGTAACAGATACAGGAAGGTTCATTAGACTATTTAGTCTACTTCTGTATATGTGTGAAATTTTCAATAATAAAAAATTAAAATAAGAAAAAAGTTATACATAAAGTTTATTTAAAATGAAATATATATATATGTCTGGTTAATTATAATTCATAGTTTTAAGACCCGAAAAATCTTTAAAACTTGTACATATATTAAAAAAATACAGAAGGAGATTTTATCAAAAGTTGCATATTTTAATAAAGACAAGGGCCCAAAGAGCTGTGAGGTTAAAGAGAGTGATGCAATTAATGGAACAAATCAAAAGATGTGTAACTGTATTCTACTCTATAATAAAACAAGTTTTCTATAAGGATTAGTTTAACAAATATAATTTCTTTTGATTTAAAGAAATGTTTGTTTTGTGTTAAGAAAAATTCTAAATGAAAAATATGGAAATAGCACAAATTAAAAATAGAACCATTTAGATCATTCAATACTTTTCTTATGTTTTACAATAAACAACTCTTCACTATTTAACCACACCATCATTTCAATATATCTTACAAACTGCCTTATAAACCAACATACTATAAGATAGTTTTTTAAATATTTATAAAAACTTGGAAATTAAACTTACTATTTCTTTCTGTTCTCTTGGAAAAGAAGAAAATAAGTACTGTTCTTATGCTCCAGATGCTAAAGGGGAAACAAAATTTAGAAAAAAAAACCATCATTAGGATGAGTGAATTAGAATCCATAAAAAAATGAAGCAAATATATTATATATTTCCAATTAGAATTAGGTACATTGTTTCCTTTTATATATCGAAACCAAAAAGTACTTCTGTCAGAAGACATCAGAAGGCTACCTGTGCTTTCAAAAGAGGAGTTCTCAACATCAAATCCGTGACCTTCTGAGCTTCCCCTTAAATTGGAAAATTATCTTTGTGTACGTAAGTTCATTCCTCTAGAGAGAAGATTGCTTTCATCAATTTCAAGGGAGTCTATGAACCCTCCAAAAGATTGAGAATATTATAGAATCCCTTTCTTACTAAGTAAGCATCAACTCCAAAAATTTGTCTTTTCTATTCTTACATGCTAGGGGAAAAGCACATTTTGCTTTTATAAACATGAGACCATTATACCAACCTAAGCTGCTACTCCTTCCCTATCATTTAACATTAGAGAGATCTTCTCTACTCAATAGAATAGCTATTGGGGGGGGGGGACCTTACCTTTAAATAAATACTTGCTAAGTAAACTTAACTACATACCTCCTCCCAAATATTTTATAAGGATAATTCTTTAGGCCTTGCATTAAGACATCAAATGACATGAAAAGTATTAAAAGAAATTCAAAGAATGATCCTAATCACAAACTTGTCAAAGTCATTTCTTAAATTCAATGTAAATATAGTAAAATATCTCTTTCTCCATACAACATGACAGAAATAAGTATACAAACATTATTCATCATTTTATTAAAAAAATACATTATATCAGGCTATAAGTTCAGAATGTAGGTATGAAAATTAGTTCTTCACTCTGAAATATGGCATTACTATTCTGGGGACTCAACCTGCAAGGCAGTCACCAGTGATCTGTCTCCTGGTATTCACACCATTGTATAGTCCTCTCTCACCAGCATTGGTCTGAGTGACCAACAGCATATGGCAGAAGTCATAGCATGTCACTTCAAGATTCAAATTAAGTTATAAAAGACTGCACCTTCCATTTTGGGCCTCCTCTTTCATTTGCTGCCTTTCTCTCTCTCTCTCTCTCTCTCAGATTACTTGCTCTGAAAGCAGCCAGCTGTCATGACATGGGAACAGTAAGGGAAGTCTATGGAAAGACCCACGTGGTGAGAAACAGAGGTCTGTGGTAAACACTCAACAAAGAACTGATGCCTGCTAACTACTGTGAGCAGTTAGCATGTATGACCTTAGAAGTAGGTTAGGGAAAAATTACCCAAAATATACAAGACCATACCAGATATCATCTTTGTACTTGGATTTGGAACCCATTTTGGGGGTGGCAAGACAATTGGATTTGGCATGATTTAAAATTCCTCAGATTATACAAAGAAAACTGAAACCAAATACTGACTTGCAAGAAACAGCTTATATGAACAGAAAAAGACCTCAAGGAAACAGCAAAAGGAATATAAGAACAGAATGAAGAAAGTCAGAGGGTTTGCAAAAGCTATTGTTGATGGTGGCAAAAAGAAATAAAGTGTCTAGCCATGAGCTGGAGATTAAATAACAGCAGAAGGAGTAAAGATTCTACAATGATTTTATTTACAGTGACTGTGTGGATTTAGTTAAGTCTTGAGATAACTGTAGCCCCAGCCAACAGCTTAACTATAATTACATAAGAAAAAAAACAAGCCAGAACTACGCAGCTAAGCTGCTCCCAACATTCCTGCCCCTCAGGAGCCTGTGAGACATAACCATTTATTGTTTTAAGCTACTAACTTCTGGGGGTAATTTGTTACACAGCAATAGATAATACACATTTTTATATGATAATTTATTTTTATGATATGAAAACACTAAATAACTAGCACTAGATTCCTACATGGAACTTGGACAATTACCTCTCAGTAAAAAAGATACTGAGCATTGTCTTTAACAAGGGTAGGGAGGTAAGAAGAAAGGAAAGTTAAGAACTTCAAGAATCCTACAATAGTAGAAAAGGCCTATATTATTTTTCTACTGCAAACCCACTGAAATAGTAGCAAGCTGAGAGAGAAGTTTTAGTGAGAGACTACAGAGAAAGAAAACAGGGGATAAGAGCGAAGCAACTGCAGTGATACTGGCTAGAATTCTAGTGTAAGAAATTAGTATAGTGAGCTTTTTCTAATTTTAAAGCCTTTTTTTTTTTAAATTCAGCATTTGGGGTATTAAGAACGCAACTCTTATTTTATTTGCCTTTGCTCATTGTTTTATTTTCAACTTTAAAAAACACCTTTTTATGTCTTTTTTGTAGAGTGTCATTGGATCATTTGGGTAGATGCCCAGCAATGGGATTGCTGGATCAAATGGTAGATTCACTTGTATCGCTTTAAGGTATCTCCATATTGCTTTCCACAGAGGTTGAACTAGTTTGCAGTCCCACCAGCAGTGTAGGAGTGTTCCTTTCTCTCCGCATCCACGCCAGCATTTGTTATTTGGAGACTTTTTGATAAAGGCCATTCTCACTGGAGTTAAGTGATATCTCATTGTAGTTTTGATTTGCATTTCCCTGATGATTAGAGATGTTGAGCATTTTTTCATATGTTTGTTGGCCATTCTTCTGTCTTCTTTAGAAATGTTTCTGTTCATGTCCTTTGCCCACTTTTTAATAGGGTTATTTGATTTTTTCTTGCTGATTTTCGTGAGTTCTAAGTATATTCTAGTTATCAGCCCTTTATCGGATACGTAGGATGCAAAAATTTTCTCCCATTCTGCAGGTTGTCTGTTTACTTTCATGACTGTTTCTTTGGCTGTGCAGAAGCTTAGTAGTTTCATCATGTCCCATTTATTTATTTTTGTTGCTGCTTTGATTGCCTTTGGGGATTTCTTCATAAACTCTTTGCCTAGGCCGATGTCTAGGAGAGTGTTTCCAACATTTTCCTCTAGAATTCTAATGGTTTCATACCTGAGATTTAAGTCTGTTATCCAGCGTGAGTTGATTTTTGTGAGAGGTGAAAGGTGTGGGTCCTGTTTTAACCTTCTTCAAGTTGCACCTGCACTCGAATGTTCATAGCAGCACAATTCATAATCGCAAGGCTGTGGAAACAGCCCAAGTGCCCATCAATTCAAGAATGGATTAATAAAATGTGGTATATGTATACCATGGAGTACTATTCAGCTCTAAGAAACAATGGTGATATAGCACATCTTATATTTTCCTGGTTAGAGCTGGAACCCATATTACTAAGTGAAGTATCCCAAGAATGGAAAAACAAGCACCAGATATACTCTCCAACAAACTGGTATTAACTGAGTAGCACCTAAGTGGACACATAGGTACTACAGTAATAGAGTATTGGGGAAGGGGGGGCAGGTATATACATACATAACGAGTGATAGGCGCACCATCTGAGGGATGGTCATGCTGGAGACTCAGACTTGTGGGGGGAGGGGGGGAAGGGCATTTATTGAAACTTTAAAATCTGTACCCCCATAATATGCTGAAATAAAAAAAAAATAAAAATTAAAAAAAAAAAAAACCTTTTTAAATGTGTCAGTTTACACTATAGTGTTGGGTTTTCATGATACAGTCTGAAAGTCTTTTTCTTTCTAGAAAAAGGTCACTAGTGATAGTATATGAAATTAGTAAATTTTCTTAAGTGAGTCAATGCTTTTTAAAAAGTACATATAAGTTTGAAAGTATAAAAACTACAATTGAAATATACTCTCTTCAAAATAAAACTCACTATATCTCCCTTTATGGACAATAAACTATTGTTTTTATCAGAACTATTCCTGGGGAAAATGAGCTATCAAACAATAAATACACATTTCCATGTGTTAAGTCTTCAAGAATTGAAAAGGTAAAACATATAGAATTTGTTATTTTTTTAGGGCTAAATTAAATTATTTTATATTTTTAAAATAAAATTTAGAGAGAAAACTAAAGTACTTCAGGAATCTATGTTCTAGTTATCCCAACAAAGGTTTTGCTATCCCAATAATTCAATATAATTTATTAAAATATAGTGACCTGTTTTGTGAAGATATTAAAGATACTATTACTAACTTCTAGTTTTAATAGTGGCATAATCTCCATTTCCCCCTTCTGTTCTTAAAAATCATCCCAACAACAAAGAAAACAAAAACAAAAATGCAAACTCCCCTCTGGTAAAACTGAGATATAGCTAAAATCCAACCATCAAAATACATGCAAGGGCTCTCAAAATCAACGGAGATCACAGGGGTGAAAGCTCAAAAGAGTGCAAGCACAAAAGGAAAACTGCATTTCTCACAAGGAGGTAACAAAGTAAACGTTTCCAAGTATAAAGCCTAAAACCCACGTTTGTAACAGTAAGAACAAGATGCACAGCTACAGGCAGAAATTTCTCAATTTGGTTCCATTAAGGAAAGAGAGAAGGCAGACATTAAAAAGAAATCATTCAAAAATACCCTATTTATAAAGAGCATCCTGTTTCTATGGCAAGGAGGGAGAAAGAAAATTTTGTATTATGAAAAAATATAGTTGCCTAACTCCACTGGCTAGAGAAAGATAAAAGCTAAACAAACTCATGAAATCTTGAATCATAAGGAAAATTCTAGTTAGACTGGAACATAGGAAAACATACCTTTATACCACACAAATCTACAATTAATTGGCCCAAAGTAAATATACCACATAGAAAAAGGTTTTTATTAATTATAAAAACCAAAATACAAAATTATGTTTCAAAACTTGGACCAATTTCTTTCATATCAATAAATGTAAGTGGACTAAACTTACTAGAGTAAAAGAAAAAAGACTTTCAGATTGGATCATGAAACAAAACCTAATTCTATATGTAAACTGATACATCTAAAACTAAGTGTTTTTTAAGACTGAAAACGAAACAATGGGCAAAGGTATACCAAGAAAATGCAGATAAAATAAGCGTGTGATCCTATTACTCAAAAAGTTGAATTAAAAAAAAAAGCTTTAAACTAGAAAAAGGTCACTTTTATAGAGTTAAAAAAGGATGTGATT